GAGGAGATGGGTTTATGGGTGTCGTAAAACCATCAATATTTATGTTAATGCCGACGATATAAATCACCGTAATTGCTCGTGAAGGACGCTGGGTTCTTATTAGCTTTTGTTGTTTGGGTCTTGAAAAGATGTAGAAAGAAGCGCCGCTCCGAAGCGATATGGCACCGGCTTCGACATTGACGTTTATTGCTCATTCGTGCAAAACGTCCGAGTTACGACCTACATACATGTTCAGTTAAAATTTTATTGACTATCGTATTGTAAAGAGCATAAAATAATAATTAAAATTTAAACTCGTAAAGTATTTGTACAAACACTATGCGGAAAGATACCGGATACCTGGTTGTGCATCTAAATCTTCAAAACGTTCCTACCGTATCAAATTACAATAGACTATGGTCGCCGAAGAAAACAGGTTCGAACCTGACGCATTCGTTTTGGTCCAAGATCGAAAACTTGTGAAGTTATACGAAGCATCTTTCCTTTCGCGCCGATTACGAACGAAGAAACGACGGGGATTTGATTTACGTTTCGTTTACTGTGTGCGAACCGGTAGAAACGCGGAACCGTCGCATAAATAATCGCCACCTGTTTCCTCCTATCTCGCTGCCATTACGAAATGACGCGGATTTACGGCCACGATAAAACGGCGACCGGCGGCGTTTATCTAACGCCGCGTTTCACCGCCACTCGCAAATATATTAATATTGTCCATATATTGGCTCCAAGAAAATAAGGAAGCGGGAGGAAAAGAGTCGGCCGTAGTTTCTTCTTCTTGGGCCGTTTTCCCCTTTATGGTATCGCCGCAGTACCTACAGGAATTCCGTAGATAAGCGGCTACGCTGCACGTACGTCGAAATAAATTAATGCTATTTGCGCCGGCGCGATCGTTGCGCGCGCACTTCCGCGTGAACAAGTGACCAGAACCAACAACTATACCAATACAAGAACCAACTTCGGAATCAATAGCTTGCAACATAGTTTGCTGCGTTCTACGGAGACTACATTTAGATTAGAATCGAAACCTTTTGAAACCAAAACAGTCTTGATAATACTACTTTATGTTATACTTTTAGAATCTTCTTGCTCAATTGATACTGGATGGCAGAAACAACATAAATAAATTCATTCAAACTATACAATCTCGATATAACGGGGAAGGAAATGACCGTTATAACAAAAAGTACGTTATATGAAAAGTTTTTAATTTGCACTAACTATCTACACTGTTGCGTTCTGTATTAGTTAGTTTAATAAAAATATACAACAATCTAACGTTGAACAACTAAAACTAGAACGAACGCTTGTATTAGAACTAACACTACACCTACAACTAGAAACATTCGGGTTTAGATGTGTTAAGAAACGCACGGCTAAACCTGAAACTTTCTAGTTCTAGGTCTAGTATTAGTTGGATCGCGTTATACATCACTTGGCTAGGCAACATTCTATCGTTTTTAGAGATTTTCATGCTGTCTGGTAAGTAAAGGTGTAACTTATCTTAAAAAAAATGCAGAATACCGAAAAACCTAAAATACTATTTGATTTAAAGGATAAAGCTAAGCGCCAATCACGTTATACGATTTCAAGTCGGATTTGCATCATACGTCTAAGAACCGACTTACAATTAGATACGACACTTAGATACATCAAGAAATTCTACAATAGAAAAACTAGATGAACCTACAATTTCGGGCCAGTGTCGTTTTCTAGATGTTAGTATAAAATTAAAAATTTATGTCTTTTATTTTATATACTACTAGAATTTAAGTCTAACTAGTTTCGGCGCTGGGCCATCTTCAAAGACTCTACAAATAGATTAACATCTCTCATCTTATCCATTTTACAAACGACAGCGGTGGGTAGCGCTAATTAGCATAAGATATAAGTTAAATTTTAATACGTCGATATGCTCTGTAATGACTTTTAGTAGGAAGAAAAAGTTGCAAATTCATAACTATGACATGAACAAAATCATTTTAAAAAGAAATTAATATGTTTGTGATTTAGGTGTTACGTTTGATTTAAAATTTTCATTTTCAAAGCATATTAATAGATTAGCGGCTTCGGATTAATAGATTTCAAAATGGGAATATTTTTAAAGTACTCTTTAATACATTTGTAAGAAGTAAGTTGGAGTACGCCTCATTCATTTAGAATACTGCATATGTGACCTATAAATCTATAATCGACAGAGTTCAAAAAAAAATTTATAAGGTATCTTACCTATAAAATAACAGGATCATATCCCACCTTTGAACCGTATTTGCAACTTTTGAGTACCAATGAGTTTACTTCCCTTGAGAGAAGGCGTGCTATCTTGGATGCTTACACATTGCATAAAATTTGGTTCAATAAACTTCAAACTGTTAACCAAATTGTTGAGAACATTGCCTTAAATGTACCGAGATTTGCTTCACGGTCGCAGACCACTTTTTATATAGACAAGCGCCGTACAGACGTTTTGTTTCACGCACCTATTTACAGAGCCTCTTGTTTGGTTAATAATCTTGGGGATGTCGATTTTTTTCGTTTTTCGGAGTCAAAATCTTTTAAAAATTATGTGAAAAATCTTATAAACTCTAGTAATACGTGTATTTTTAAGTATTAATTTGAGAATTTGTTTTTCCATTATGTTAACGATTACTACTGTTTATTTTCTTTGGTGTTAGATACTATTCAATTAAATTTTTCGGATTAATGTTAAGTTATTGTTTTTATTTTGTAAAACCTTTGTAATTGGGGTTTGCCCTGTAGAGGTTTAATGGAAATAAATAAATAAATATCACTATGTTGCATATTTTTATTGTACTAAAACTAGAACTAACACTAGACCTAGAACTAGAAAGTTTCGGTTTATTATTATTTAAGTCTTACAACATTCCCATTTTACAACTTTTTAAACTTTAATTTTGTAAAGTAGTAACTAATAATCTGATTTCGAGTTTGATCTGTGATCTTTTTTAACAAAACAAAAAGAAATATTAAAAGACTTGTTTGTAAAATGGATAAGATGAGAGATGTTAACCTATTTGTAGAGTCTCTGAAGGTGGCCAAGGGCCGAAACTGGTTAGACTTAAATTCTATATAAAATAAAATCCAGTTTAAAGGTACAAAATGAAACTCTAGATTATTTTCTTCAAAAATTTTTACACGAATCGTCATCATTTTGTCCCTAGTTTTAGTCATTAAATTTATGCCACGACTTACAGAAACACCCAGTATAATCGTAAAACGTAACGAGTAACCAAGCGGCTTCTGTGCTTGTGATAGCTGTCATCAGTGTTTTGTGATAAAAATGGACAGGCATCAAACAATTTTTAATAGTTTGAGCCTGTCTATTCTGAGAAGTCTTATATTTTTAGACAGATGAAAACGAAAATCCCGTTTTTCCAGTTCTAGTTTTAGTTTTATAAAAATCTCCAACAGTGATATCTAGTGCGAACTAACACTTAACCTAGAACTAGAAGCATTCGGGTTTAGTCGTACGGCTCGTAAGACGGCTAAACCCGAATGTTTCTAGTTCTAGGTCTAGTGTTAGTTCTACTTTTAGTTCAATAAAAATATACAACAATCTAGCATTAAATAACAACTAAAATTCCATATATCCAAAGTACGTTCTAACGAGGTCCTAGATATGGATAGGTTTTACTGCACTTTTTAAATTTTGTTCAGGTTCGTTGTTTGATTGAGTATTGTAGTCTCTCTAAGATTTAAGCTTCCAATTACGTTTCGAGAAGTACTCAAAAAAAAACGAAATAAAAAGATTGAAAGTGGTAGCGTGACATCGAAAAGTAACAAAGATTTCTAAGAAATGTTGGGATTAATCTTATTCTAGGTCTTCGGTGGCATCGGCGTGACTGTACCATTGGTTATTATTAAGTCATCATCGCCGGAGATCGTCCGTTGCGATTTCACATTTTTATAAATACGCACCGGTCACCGTCAGAAGAAGAAGTAAAAGAAGAAAGGCAGCAATCATCGTCTACGCAGCGAGACACTTTTTCTTCGCGCCCGCAGCTCCGTTTCTTTATGATCTAAAGCCGACAATCTTTACCTACATTTCTTTAAAAATAATTTTTTCTTCACCGAAATTCTTTTCAAGAGAAAGGAGTAATTGGGTTGATTTATTTTCGATGTTTTATTAAAAAGAGGAAAAAGTAAATTGAAGATAATCGCGACAATTTTTATTTTCAAGTTAAAACCGGATGTTATTAATTTTGAAATCCACGACCGGATATGCGCTTCTTTGCAAATTTAAGTTGACATTAAAAGTATTCTTTTAAGGGATTTTCTTTGTGTCGAGCTCTTTTAAGTGATGTGGTTTTCGATTAATGGTGTGTGGTATAAAAACCGTTTTTATTATCGAAAACTATTGCCACGGGCAAGAATAGCGAACAGTTTGGGTCATAAACTACACCCAACATCGATGGGGGTTATATAAAATTAATTGGACAATAATAACGATTCCTCGCGCGGGTATCGAAATTGTAAACTCTAGATGTGATATCTTAAAGGAATTTCGATTCAGTTCTAACTTTTATATCATTGGATGGTGATGGCAATGGTCTTTATTGATTTTGGCTTTTGTCGAATGAAATTCTGTTATTAAATGTCGTAAATTTTTATTATTATTAATTTTCAAGTCTTGGTAAATTCTATTTTATTAATAAATTCGTTTTGATTATTATTTCTTACTTCAATTTGATTCGGCAAAGCACGTTTACCTCGTAAAGTCGAAAACTAACTTGAACAGCTTATTGAAGCAAAAATAATCTCTTCAACATTCGATGAATAACCGTAAAGGTGACGATTAATGAAACTTCTTTATAACTTTAAAGAATTATTGTTTAGTTTGTTTTGAAATGGTTATAAGAGTTTTATTAGATACGTTATGTTTGTAATTATATCTTGGAGATGTTTGTAATTGATTTTCGGTTGAGTGATTGTACACAATTGGGAATTGAATTTAAGAATTTATTAAAAAAATTTTACAATACCTCATCCATGTTGATTTTGATAAATCAAATCCCACTAACACATCCACTTTTCTCTTTTTAGTCACTCCTCCAGATAACCCATTCTTACACTTTTCAAAATTCAAATCACTCATACACACATTTACACAATTTATTAAAAATAATTGAAATAACAAAACATTTTCACGATTTTTATTTTTTTCTTCTTATGTCTCCTTTCCAAAAATTAACTTCGAAAAAATTAATTAACTGTGTTTATTTTTCGTAAAAACTTTTTTTCGTGTTAGAGCTTTTTCGCGGGATGGATTTAAAGTTTTCGCGGTGTTCGTTTCTGAACGGCCGAAGCTCTTCTGGTCGGGATCGTGGGGTCCTTCGCGATGCGTGTCTAGTACGGGGCCGCGGACGCGTGACGTCACCAACAGGTTGTATCTCTGGAGGTGGTCGGGCTTCGATGGGGGCCCTCACCGACGATGGAGCCTCGAGGGCGATGGCGGGGGATAGAAACAGCACTCAACGGGGCCCCGTGTTTGCACGGGGGGCGCGAAGACCGATACGCGGCGTGGGCGTCTCGACGGCCCCAGAACAATGATGGTGACACGTGTTTTCAGTTATATTTTGCAAAACAAATCAATGAAAAGAAATTTAACTCTAAAAAGTTTCATTAATTTGGGTTATTGAAAAAATATATAATTAATAAAATACTGAAAGAATTTTTAATTGATTATTGTCGATTCCATCTGGTGGTGTAATCGTTTGTGTAGAGGAGAAATCGTTTTCTTGTAACAATAACTAATTTATGGAGTGTGTACATTGAAATTAAAAAAGCCTTATGAATGGATTTATGTGAGATAAGAATCTGCTGTGGTTATGGTCATAATTACTATTAATACCTGTTACTTTGATACTAAATTCATTACGTAGTATGGCATAATCAAAATCGTTTACAATTTTTGCTTTTACCTTTGAGGACTTCACTTTTAATTTAAACACTTAATTAAAATCATACATTTAGCAGAAGTATGATTAATAATTGTCTTTCCTTTATCATATAACTTTGAAGTTTTAGGGTAAAAATAACAGTCGAAGCCACATTCTTAAATATGAAACTACCTTAATTTAGCAACAAAGTTATCTTTGTAGATAATGGAAGACTAACAATACCATCATTATAAAATAAAGATTGTTGTCGTGGACTGAAAACACCTCAAAATTACCAAACCTCAAGTTTTTAGCATTTTAAAAAACTGTTTATCAATTCCAAAAGAACATTTTTTATTCTATCACAATCAAAGTATTTTAATAATACTGTAATCGTAACAAACTGTAACTCATAACTTCATTGGAAATTCATTGGAGACAGTGAAATTACAGATTCATTAATTATTCATGCATCATATCTCTTACTTTTTAAACTTTGTTCAGGTTCGTTGTTTCATTGACTATTATAGTCTCTTTAAAATTTAAGCTTGTAATTAAGTTTCAAGAAGTACTTTAAAAAAACGAAACAAAAAGATTGAAAATAGTCATAGAAAAGTAAAGAAAAGTACCGTAGAGTTGGGTGACATGAAATCGTAAGGGTTAAAATCATTGTTGTTATCTATTAGGTAAATGACCAAATTCAAAACATTTTCTAACCTGTACTACAATGATAAAATAACGTTTTTAGTTGAGAAACGTTATCAAGAGTTTTATTTGGCCCCTAAAAAACATTGAATAAAAGGTAAAAAAACCATGGTTTTTGATATGCTGTATAATTAAGGTCATCCTCAGATATCCAGATCAGCAAATAACATGTAATAATTTTTTTACAATTATTTATTGTTTTCTTAAGAGATTCTGAATGCTAGTTTTGTTGATTTTCGTTTTTGATATTAAGAAATGATTTTTCATATTTTTGGTACAGATTTTTGGATAACTTGACAAAATGCCAAATAAATATAAGAGAGCATTGGGTAAGCGAAAATACCACGATTTTAGTAAAGAAGAATTAGAAGCTTTAACAAATATACGTACTGGTAGATGGACATTGGTGGAGGCTTCAAATATTGCCTGGATATCAAAATCGCCATTATATCGAAAACTGAAAAATAAAAATATGAAAACTTATGGTAGGCCTTTCTCACCCTATAGAAAGGACCCATACTTTTTTATTTGATGTCAAGTCACCTGTAGGACAGCTTTATTTGGCTTTCAAACTGATTTATGCTTATATTTTCAAGTAACCCAACATGTCGGGTGACTTGAGAAACACAGCTTTTATTTTTTTTGTTCTTTTTTTTTGAGTTTATCAATAACGTTTTATACGGGTTCTGTTCTTTGCAAAAAATGGCATAGCGCTATATTTTTTGTTTTATGATATATTCCTGAGTATGGCAGATATTATTGAATTGATGTTAAAATTGCAGTCAAGTCACCCAACTCTACGGCACTGAAAAATGTTATGATTTTCAATTTACAATCTAAATTGAATCTGACATCCATTGGAGTAACTTCATTGGAAATCCTACAACTGGAGATACATAAGATATCCATTGGCGTCAATTTGATAGCCATTTGAGATTTGGACGGCCATTATGGGTACTACCATTAGATATCGATTTGAGAATCTTTCTTAGAAATACAGAGAAGGTATCTGGTTCGGCATTCAACGGAGAACTTGCCATTAAAGATTCATTGGAAATCCACTGGACTATTTTCATAGAAAATTCAATGACATACAGTAATTAGATATTTTGCATCTGCAGATACTGATAAAAGAGATTCAGTGAAGAACTGGCTATTAAAGAATCATTGAAAATCCACTGAACTATCTTCAAGGAAAACTTAATGAGATATAGGTATTTGAGATTTTACCACTGCAGATATTGGCATAAGATATCCAATTGAAAACATGCTATTAAAGATTCATTGGAAATAGTTATTGTAATTCAAAACCTGGCTACTATAGGTATTGCCACAGAGTATCCAATACAGTTACGGCTATTTAAAATTAATCCATTGTAGGCACTGTCATGAAATGTGTATTGCACTATCCTGATTAAAAATTTAGAGGAGATACTGCAATTAGAGATTTTGTTACTATACAAAAATGGGACAACACTGGTACAAGACATCCAATGGAGGACTTACTATTAAACGTTGATTGAACACCTCTCTGGACAATCTTATTAATAGACTATCTTTATGTCAAATTTAATGGGACAACAATTTGACATGAATGATTTTTGTTATGAAATTATTCAATCAAGCTATATACATATTTTGTTACTTTTCTATTTAGAAAAGAAAGGCTGGAAGTTTAAGAAGTAGTTTAAGAATTAAAAAAATTCAAGAAAACTTTATGAAACAAAAGTAACATCTCTCATATGTTGTTCTCCATTTTATCTGCAGTGCTCAAGTTTATGAACAAAGTTACTCAGTACTCTATCCACGTGCATGCATTTTCCGCTTAATATTCTCTCGCAGTTCAGTAAAATTTCTAGGCTTATCAAAATACATAGTTCGCTTGAAGTAAAATCACAGATAAAATGGTGACTGTGAAATTAGCTTAACGGAAACTAATAATCTTGGCTGGGCCATAGACGCGCGTGAAAGGTGTGCAATGGCTTCATGCTGTTGAAATCAAGTTCTTTTAAGAGAAATTTGATAGCGACGTATCTTCGGGAGGTAGAAGCTAGTGATCAAAGTGAGTTAGCGCTCGGAAATAACCGTGATGTTATGCCCATTTTCCTCACAAAATGGGGTCCCATCACAGCTGTCTTACAGTTTAGATTGTCTTTCTAGGGTATAGCCCAGACGGTTATCTTTGGGATTTAAAGGGGCCGTTGATGATATGTTTCCTCATCTTCATTAATCATCCATAACATTGTTTCTGCAAAAGCTAACCATCGCTTGCGAAATCTTGTAATTTTTGAATAACAACAATTTTGTACGGGAGAAAATTCAAGTCTTCGCAAAGAATCCGCCAAACAGTCATATCGCACATACTTCGTGGGTACTTCGTGAAAGCAACTCGTACAGTATTAACGTTTTACTCTTTGCTCTTGCAAAATCTGTATTTCCGAACAAAAGTTTCGAACCCACAAAAGAATTGTGTTCCGAAATGGCGTTCACTAGTCCAATCTCCATTATAACAAAACTTCCACATCAGTACAAAGAGGGATTAATCACTAACTGAAATCTCATCATCATCAATTAGAAACGTTCAAAAAACATCGGGTTTCACTATCGGACCTTGTATATACTGAATCAAAAACTTGCTATTAAAGTTTCAATGCTAATCCATTCCAATCCCAATGAAACATATCTACACGAAAAAATTATTGAGTTAGTACAATTAGAGACCTTCCTCCTCAGATACTACCATACATCTAACAGTGCCGTTGGGATTAATGGTGACCCATTATAAGTATTATCATTTGATATCCATTAGACTATCTTCATTATGAATTCAGTGGAGATAGAGCAATTGGAGATTTTGCTACTGCACTTATAGGTATAAGACATTCAATAGAAAACTTGTATTAAAGATTAATTGGATATCCATTGGATTATATTCATGGAAAATTCGATGAGATGATTTGAGTTTTCTGCCGTTTGGGATTATCCATAATAGGTACTTTATCGGATACGCATTTGACTATTAAAAATTAATTGAAGATACTGGCATTAATGTGCACTAGATTACCATTATCAAAAATTTATTGGAGATATATCATCTTTATTGGAAATTCATTGGTGATACTGTTATATAAAATACTGCTGTCAGAGATCCATTGGAGTATGTTTATTGAAAATTTTATCAACATTTTGCATTTGGTGGAGATCCAATGGCGAACGTATCGTTGGAGATTTCTTTGGATATCCTTTATTCTTAGATATCTTCTGTCAATACAGCTTCACTGGAATATCTTTGTGGGAAATTCATTAGAGATCGTTTCCTTTGATGATATAACTTAGTTTCGTTGTAGTTTTATTCTCAAATTTTTCTTAATGATTTCTCCATGTTATTTTGTTAGGTTGGAATAGATGATTTCGTATCTGTGCTAAAAAGTCTCAAAGATTAATCTGTGTCATATAGAAAAGTTATTATTCTAAAATAACGTATCGTAAAAGGATGCACCATTTAGGCAACTCATAATGTATTAGAAAATTTCTTATATGATTGAAGTTTTTAGACTTCTGT